TGTATTTCTCAAATCTTTTAATAATAATAAATGTGCTCTGTACAGCATGAAAATACTCAATTTCATTAGATGCTAACATGATCAGAGTTCCATCCAAACATAATACAATATAATGCCCTAAATAATATCCCAAATATGTGATAAGTTGTGAGATATTAACACAAACAACAGTTTATAAAATGTAGATAATAGCATAATAACCAGGTAGAAATACCAATCAGTGAGATAAAGAAATAAGCCTATGTTACAGAAATTCAAAGAGTTGATAAATAAAACACCCACAAGACCGTGTTAGCTTCCAGTATGGAATTATATAAGAACCATCACATCATAATTCATAATAAGCATATCTGTAAATAATCAATTACATGCTAAGTTTAATTATTTCGCGTGTTTATCACAATATAGTACGGCATTATCCTAAAACAAGTACAGTATTACACAAATGTACATGCATCATGTCTGCCAAACTATGGTAGTAGAAACTCTCTGACCTATGTCTATGGCAAGAGCAAAAATGTTAAAACAACCACAGGCAACTTTTCTATAGACGAATACACAGAGTAAAATAATTCAGTCACAAATTACCTACCGCAACGGGACAGGTGATTAGCTGCAGTATACCATAAATGGAATTAATTGCTCCCCCTACTATAGGCGTAACGCCAAGATCACGTACTTGGACCACGATCAGGGGAATGATGAGACTGGCAGCAAATAGGTCCTGAAAGCACTTTATTGTAATCCCTCTCAAACTATAGCAATAATCAAAGATACAAAATTTTGAATCCTTAGGATGAACATTTTACATAAGAAATCTACATATATTCTGGTACACTACGATATAAATTTTAGATTAAAATTTTTCTGAAATTGTGGTATGTGCTATGAAGCCGAAGTTGACATTGGTATTAAACCAAAAAGGTTACCAACATTCGTTAGGGAATCTATATAAATAAGAAATATACCTTACAATCATATTTGGTATTCAACGTTTTCATAATATCCTCATGAAGGTTAAATGTAGTCATGGTTTTAGTGTATCAACAAACTTTGTTTTACTTTCTCCTTGTCTTGAGATATCAATAATCCCTCCAAATACAAAATTTTGGACATCCTTACACAAAAGAATTGGAATCAAAAGTGCTACCATCCCATAGTATTGCAAAGAGTATTACCAGGTAAATAAATTCCAAAGTTCAATATGTTGAAATTCATTGATGTTTCATTAGCTACTCTTCATCAATCTGACCTCCTCACATGTGAAAACAAAGCGAAAGCCAGGATAACATAAGATATAGAAAAATTTATTAATTACAGAAATATAAATAAAGGATGCTTTATTCTGTATCAAGTAAGAAGCCAAGCTCATTTCAATATACTGTATATATCATGTAAAAGTATCAATAGGAACCTACAATCTCATTTAAAAATAGAGGAATATGTAAAATAGAAAGAAGAGGCATACAGACAAAAGCTAATAAAGCCACTAATATGTGTACAGTACTCGTATATGGAATTAGTATGTTCATAATTGAAAAATCATTGCAAGTTAATACGGTATTAGCAGAATGTGTGAAGCCTTCTGTTGAACACAGAGATATTGTATGGGTAGAAAACGAATCAAAACTGCTTGTGAAAGAGGTTTCAGCAGAAAATTAAAAAAATTGTGCAATCTGTATAGAAAAATTATCAAATACAGTTATTGAAGTTGTCCTAGAGAAAAGAAAGAAGTAAGAGTTAGATTTGTTTATCGTTCTTGAGAAAAATCTCAATAATATCCAGAACTTTACAATCTTGCAAAGTAAAACTAGAGGCTATATTTACTTTACAATACAAGCCTAGGTTTCTCATGCATCTCAAAGTCACATAAAGCTGGAATGGAGTGAAGCCATTTAGATCAAGTGCCAACTATGGGCACCATAAATGGAACATGAATTCATGACCAAAATATAATTACTGTACTTTGATCAAGCTAAAACAATGAAATTAATTACGAGAGCTGTAGAGGCAGATAGAGTGAAGAAGATTGCATGCACATTATGCCATCACCAACAAGACAAGATACAAGTACCTAAGTATCTTAAAGACAACATACTAATGCAATACAGAAAACAACACTCAATACCGAAGTACACTTTATTAATACCAGAGTACAGAGGGTCTCCTTCATGAGACGCTAATGTCTAAACTTATGGCACAAGACAATACTCGTACAGCAAGAGTATTTTACTATACTTTCTATATTATTGATTTCACATAAAGGATCAATAATAAAATTGCAACAAACTATAATTCAGTGCATTTTTACTGATACTGGATAAAATAACTGCCCAAATGGAGAGAAAACGCATCTTGCAACGGGTAAATGATGTGCATTGTGAGAACTTCCATTACTGAGGAACCCTGATGAGGAGACACCCTGCATTACAGCTACCTATTACATCAAAACACCGTACTGAGGTAAGGAAAGGCTAATTGTTATCATTACCACAGCTGGACTTGAAAAAAGTTGGATGGCACCATAAATGGATGTGATAGCGCCAGCCGCAAAATGTGAAACTCCTAAATTTTTAACTCTGGGTAGAATTAATGGGAGGATTAGGCTCACTCCAAGGAGATCCTGAAACAAATACGACATAAGAAGGAAATGATAAGATTTCTTAAACATCTGGATATTCAGGGGTGTTATTAATTAAAAGTCCTTTTCTCAAATGGCATTAGCTCTGGGACCCTGTTGCCATTCAAAAAAGGAAGAAAAAAGAAAAAAGGAAAATAAAGAGAAAAAATGAAAGTAAAAAGAAAGTGAAAGCTCAGAGTGTAAGTACTAGATAAAAGAACATGGATGGTAAAGAATTCCAGCAAACACTGGGAATGTAAGTGAAACATCATCGGACACTGAAAACAATAAGGCATTACAAATGCAATTAATATCATTCTGAACTCTTTATGGTGCTATTTTTATTTCACAGTATCATGTACAAGAAAAATCGTGATATACATCTACAGCTGCTGGCATTTCAACAAAATTCTATATAACAATTCACTTTACCATAAACATTAGCTTAAAAGCATACAGCTAATTACTGTACTTCTTTTACATAATTTTAAAGCAAAGTTAAGGTATCTTATCTTATCTTAATACAGGTTAGTTTAGACGATGGACCAAGATTTATATCAAATTAAACACATTTACAAAAGTTATTAGAATCTCTCTGTAACCTCATCAATTTCTATAAACAAGTGCTATTCTAATTCATTTTAAAATATACATTTCTATAAGCAAATGTTAATTCAGTCTGGTTTACACTATACATTCAACATGCAGAGTAAAGATTTCACTTAATGCATTTAGATAAATCATTAAGCTTACCAAAAATCCAAGGGTGTAGATAAGGTACTGGATTCTGGAGGTCCTCATTCTGCCCATTTGCTAATGTTCTTAATGAATAAAGCCTTCTTAATGGTCATGGTTATCTAAAGACTTTTTCCATAGTATTAGAAAAGACATGATATCATGTCCATCATATTCTGCAAGAATCAGAGAATTTTTGAAGTCCATTGATGATTTATAAAGTTTGTGGACTAGGATAGGTTTCAATTTCAAGGTCAATTAAATTATCTGGGGGTCAGTAATCTTCACCTTTTCCAAGTTGAGTTCTACTTAAACTTAGCTTCAACAATGAAATCAAGGTTTAGAGGGTTAAAATCGCCTAAAAAGGGAACATTCAACGAGAGAGTTAACTAACTTATCTTTTACTAATTTCGCCCAACTTATTCTTTATGAACTTATCATTAAGTATTTCTTATATCAGGGTCTTTATTCTACGATGAACCCTGCTCCTTTTAGTTATTATGATTATGAATTAATGATGGCTATTCACGGGATAAAACAAAAACTTGCGTCAAGGTTCGTTCTATGCACCTTAAAGTTAAGTTAGGTTACGTTAGCTTGGTTATGTATTAAACCTTGTATCAGATACACCTGTTGCTTATCTATGATAAGTGGCACATTGATGTACAGCGGCTACAATTCCCCTTATAAGGGGGTGGCAGTCAAACTACATAGTTGCACTTGAAGTCAATTCACCTCTCTCGTCCCTCTTAGCTCAATTAGGATAGAGGGTCACCATTATCCCCCAATTACCACCCTGTTTGGGTCAACCACAGGGTAAATGGGTTCGAATCTTCTGCCATGAATTATAACTATTTATGTAACGTAACAAGTGCAGGACATATTAATCCAAATAAAACAGAGAGTATGGAACGCTAAACATCTCCATTGTATGCAGTTTTATAAAGTACAATGTCAGTATGCTGGCACTTTTGGGGCAATGGCATTACATAACTATTACTGGCACTATTGACAAATGTATTACAGGAATTTGGTACAGAAATAATATTAGGCAGAATAATTTTTATATTAATAATCAGTTTAATTTTACAAGACTAACCTTAATACTCTTACGAAGCTTGATCAACTCGAAGTACAATTAAAAGAAATGAAATACAGATATGACTATGGCTCACAGTTGCGATAAAGAGATTTACAGAGCTAAAAGAAAAACATATGGGCCGCTCCGATTATGCAATTAAGGAAGAAGAAGAAGAAGAAGAAGCAGCCTTTACAACCTCTCCCGTCCAATATTTCATCCTCAAATTTATTTATAACTCTTAAATTTTTTGCTTTCATTCTGTCTTCTTTTCAACATTTATTACATATTATGCTGATTTTAAGTATATTACAAATAAAAAATTCTATAGTCAGTGCTGAGAAAAAAAATATTGATCTTTAGCATGTCGTTGACTCGGACACCTCCTTTATGAGGGGATATGGGCCCACCGTAAAGCAAAAGATAAATAGATAATACTTATTTAATTTTAATATATTCTTCCACTTAAACGCCAAGGATATCATTTTCAGCTCCATAAAGAACCATTCCTGCATGAGGCTCTTTCCCGTTAGCACAATCAAGTATATACGGTTACTCTTAACAAGTGGCTGCCGTGGCACAGTGGTAACGCTTGAGACTTTGATTCATCTAGTCATGGGTTCGATGCCCGCCACGGTCCGAGGTAACGGTGGCACTTGGCAAAACCAAAATTCTTCCAAAGAAAGAACAGTCCCAGCCCTCAATAAGAAAAAAAAAAAGTCTGTGATGCAAAGCCTATCACTATGTTACACTATCCAAGTGATTCCCAACCTCTATCCATTGAACAGTGTAGGTAGTGGAGGCGATGCCAATTCAGGTTCAGATTGAGAAGCAATGCCTTTTCAACGGCGCTTCTCTTTAAAATACGTTCTTATCGTGCTGTCCTTTTGGTTTTTTTCTTTCTCCAAAATGTATATAAAATCTACTTTGTTTTTTCTCTTTTGCCTTTTTCAAGCTGACCCATCTTCGTGTCCTACACATACCAGAAGAAGAAGAATGTATAGAGAGTAGAGACCATTACGCATCTCTCGGTCATTTTGTTTTAATATTAATAATGCCAAAATTAAATATAACCCTAAATATATTAATAATTATACATTTTAATTATATAGTCAATTATTAAGTTATCTATTTACGTAGTATTAAGTGTTATAAAGAGTTAGTGCCATTAGCAGATCCTAATCATTCCTTACGGAGAGTCCGGAGTATCAGTGTGTCATTGCCATGCTCAGTAGTGCCTTCCCTACCTTAATTGTTGCACAGAAGGCCTTCCGAACACCTCTCCCCTCAGCTGCCCTTCACTACTACTTCATCTCTACCCGCAATTCCAAGTTCACTTGCTGTAAAAAACTAATTTTCAAGAGATTCTTCGCTGTAAGTGATTACGGTGAATCGGTATTGTGTTGAGGTCGATTGGTATGCTTTGACTCCGTCACCATCCCTTTACAAGGAAAATTTAGCCATTGCATATGTATGTTAATTGGTTTCTGGTGAATGCGTACTTTGGCTCGGCCACCCTTCTTGTAAGAAGGATTGCGGCCATTATGACTCGCTTTTGGTGAATGTATGCTCTGACTTGGCCACCCCCATACAAGGGGATTTGAGGTAACTATATAAATTGGCTCCTCGTAGATGGCTGTGTGGTTTGACTCAGCCGCTTCCCCTTACAAGGCAAATGTGGCCGTTGTATAGAAGTGGACTGGCATCTGGTGAATGGGTGTGTACTTTGACTTGGCCAACTCCTTACAAAGGGGATTTAAGCCATTGTGTATATACTGTATGTGAATTGGTTTGTGCTTCCCCCCTCATTTGTATGCTAATCTGACAAATAAACTTTGTTAATATGTTTACTTTCACACCCACTCTTAAGGAAATATTCTCATTAAATTTAGTATAATATTGTGTCTGTTAGGTTTGCTCACCTCATGGTAAGAAAGAAGTTGATAATTGAAAGAATATCCTTAGTCATTTTAATTTTTGTTTTTAATACTTTTACATTATGATTTCACTCTGGGGGTGTGAAAGTAAAACATTTATTTGTGTAACTATTAAAAAACTAACTTAATATACTCAACACCCATTAGGGAGTCAATAATACCCACTAACCTCCACTCTCAATTCTTTGGTCCTCTCTGTTGAATATAATCTTATCTCTGTAGTATTGGTAATATATTTTTTTCATAATTTTATTAATGGAAAGAAGAAAAGTGGTTCCTTTTATTATCTCGGTGACCCTTACAGGGAAAAAAGTGATAATGAAAATAATAATGAAGGTTGTCCAATAAAACCCCAAAAGGTAATGGTATAGCAATATGCATTTTTAGGATTAATAAAACGTCCCCATGACTTAGAAACTAATGCCTCCATCAGCGAGGGTACCAATGATACAAAAATATTCCGAGTATCACCATGGCAGTAATCTTTATATGTTTAGGGATTGTCTTGCTCTACCCAAAATACATACTGTGTATACTTATACGTTTTGGAGTATTTCTGAACAACTTTAATGTTCAGTCCACATTATTGTGGTGACTTATTTTAATACTAATAAATACTTAAATTATTTCACGTTCTTGCAGCATCTAGTCTGAGGGTCACAACCATAAGTGAAGTCTCAAATAGTATTGTAATGATAATAATGACGATTTAGAAACGTTTCTGGTCTCTATGACTTAAAACCTTGCATATTCAGTACTGCAATCCACTTAAGACCATTCCATCTTGAAGTAATATAATTCCTCTTTCAGGTCAGCTGTACAATGCCAAAACCTAAGGGTATTAATGGTTTGTATGACTTCCGTCGTGTTTCACCGGAGGATATTGAAAAGCAAACTGATGCACTCATCGCGAAGCAGCGAGCTGTGTACGATGCAGTGGCGCAGCTCCCCGTTGAGAAGGTTTCTTACGAAAATGTTATAAAGGTGAGAGAGAATATTGCAGTTTTCCTTCTAAAATCTCTCCTTATGTTAATCATCTAGCCTTTCAGCTTTTTTTTTTTCCAATGTCTCCTTCCCGTAATATAATTCCTCTTTCAGAGTGATTCGTGTTTTGAAAGTTTTTCCTATTTTTACTGTGCTCTGTAATAATAGCAAAAGTAGTTTTGCTGTTTTATTCCTTCACTTATATTGGTAGTTTAGTGTACAATATTTGGTCAATTTAGAGATAAAACATTTTATCATGTGTTGTGATGTTTATAAAGATAAGATTCACTGTCTTGAAGTTCTCTTAATATTACTTATACAGTATAATGCTGCAACAAACTTAGTTCATAAATAGAGATAACTATAAAATGTATATTCAGAATTATTTTTATTCAGGAATTCAGGTGTCATATTTTTCTTTGTGTATTGAGAACTTCAAGAATTTAGATTGCATTATAGATTTACTTATTATATGAATTATTTTATATTTTATTCTTTCACTAACAGTCTGCCATTTCTTTCAGCAACTTGCAGAATTGATGGCAGAGCGGTCAACATTGGGCTCGCCTTTGGATTTCCCACAACACACAGCAACAGACAAGGATGTGCGAGAAGCCTCGAGTAAAGCCGAGCAAAAGCTGGAAGAATTTGATGTGGAGATGAGGTACTCTTGCCTAGAATTAAGCTACAGGTTTTCTGCAATATTCAAACTAACACGAGTATACTACCGAGTTTGATTTGTGCGTCTTGTACGGCTGCAAATTTAGCTGGTCATATTCATTGGTACCTTTTTGAATTGGATTCTGGAAATTGCGTCTCATTGCTAAAGCCTTTGAATATGTAAACTTACAGGTCTTCAGTATCTGTACTTAGAAGACAGATTATATTAATATTGATGCTTGCTCAATGATGTAATACAGTCGTTTATAGTTACTACAACTTTCAAGTTTTATACTCTTCGATATAAATGTATATCAGTCATTTAAAAAAATTTTAGTTTAGATTATCTTCCAATCATTTCCAGCATGAAAAAAGATATTTTCGATCGCGTGGTGGCATTCCGAGATAATGTTGGTTACAGCAGTTTGAACGACGAACAGAAGAGACTCGTCGAGAAGCTTATTTTGCATGGGAAAAGAAATGGTATGGTTTTTTAAGTTATCTATTACATCTAGTAACCATTCTTATATAATTTATTTTGTACTAAGAAACTTTAGGCAAAATTTCCTCATATATCTTTGTACTTAGAATCAGGAACTTACAAATTATTTTAAATTTTCTATGACAATCCTGGACTTCTTAATAGATTTCTTATTTCCTCATATGATAGCACACACTGTGTTGTCATGAATATGAAATTAAAATGTTATGCAGAAAAACCACCCTGTAATGTGTGTGTGTGTGTGTTAAATAACTATCTTGATTGTTTTAGAAGTATAGTATAGCATATTTCACCCACCATTTCAAACTAAAGTTGTTGTTAATACCCTAGACTGATTATTTTGTTTTTAATTTTTGAAATCATCTCGTAATTACTATATCTCACAGTGATAATAGAAGACAGTCTTGCCTAGCTTTCATTTTTTCTTTTATAGGCCTCCATTTGTCGGAGAATATTCAAAATGAAGTGAAGGTGATTAAGAAACGGATGGCAGAGCTGAGCATCAAATTCCAGCGCAATTTGAATGAAGATAATACAAAACTGTTCTTCACAAAAGAAGAACTCGCTGGCATGCCTGACGACTTCGTTAATGAGCTGGCTGAGGTGAGATATCTCCTAAATATTTTCAAGATACCTCAGACCTGAAATTAACTCATTGCAAAGGTTTTTCCATTGCAAAACGTAATACGTTTCCGTCTATATGTTTTCAATGACCAAAATACGTTTACTGCCATCTTGAGTGCTATGTATTATCTCTTTATCTGTTAATTCTTTTCATATTGCCATTACCTGTTAAGTACATCATTTCAACTGTTTGGATTTTTCTTATAGACATATATTAAGTCTATATCTTTTAGACTTATGTAAGAACTGGAACCACTTAATCTCACGATTTTTTTTTTTATCAATGCTTCCAAACTTGCATATGTTTTGTTGATTCTTACATGATGAATAGTAATACTGATTACCATACAATTCTTTCTCTTTGTTATTGATTTAAGAGGGCTGATCCTTTGTACTTTTCTGTGTACTTAATGTCGGAGTATCTATGCACTGTGCCAATAGCATCTGTTTATATTTAGTATGTGTACATTCCAAAGTAGTCATTGCATTGAAAACCCATTCCAGCTAAGAAGTCCTTCCCTTTGGAGATATCCAAGAATAAGCACTGGAGTGCCAAAGCATGCCACTTATATTGTGCTTTAAGAATGGAAACATCCATTTGTCAACACTGCAGTGGAAAACCTTCTCTTTAATATTGTATATTTTGTAGGGAGAAGATGGTAAACTGGAGGTCACGATGAAGTATCCTCATTTGTTTCCTGTTACCAAGAAATGCCGAGTGCCAAAGACAAGAGAATTGATGGTCACTGCTAGTCAAGCCAAGTGAGTATAAAGATTCAGTCTAATACTATGATATCTATAAAGACTCTGTCTTATAATATAATAACTCTGTTACAGACGTCCTCCCTGAATTCAATGTGACGATGGCTGAAAGTGGAGATCTGAAGTAAGTTCCATATAGCACTGTAGAGCCAAACCTACCTTCATCTTTAT